TTAACGTCCCCTAGCACGAAAGGATCTTTCAAGAATGTCATCAAAACAAAGCTAACACTTGATACATAAACTAATGGATAATCATTCATGCTAGATCAAATACTCTTCCAAAACAAAACAAAGCAAAACTTTATCAAAACATTATAACACAACTTTATTTTTAAAAAAAAAGAAACACCCACACATAAACTGTTAACTTCAAGCAGTCCTATTTGTACATAAGTACTATCCTTAACCAATTAAATTATTTAAGCTTTCTCTTAGATTTTGGGATAGACTTTTATTTAATGCCCCAACTTATCACATTTCCAGTAATTCGATGACATAGTCTCCAATAGATCTTGTGACATATAACATACTAGGATAACTTACTTCTCTTACAACTTTACCTAGAATTGCTCGTCTTTCCTGCCACAAAATTCTTAGTTTTCTCCCTTGGTTCACTTTTCACTTCCACACTCAGTTCATACTTTTGACCTTGTTATATGCTATAGGATTCACAGCTTTCACTACGTTCTCTAGTGCTTCTTCCACTTAACCTCATCACTCTGATAAAGACTCAATTTCCACTTCATTCATACTTTTTCACCACCTCCTCCTATTGCCGGAAAGGAAGGGTTAAACACAAGAAAATGGTTGACAATAGTTGGGTTGATTCACTAACTTAAATTATATTACTAAGCACATATCGTATACAAGTAAACATACATACATAGACATATAAGGACGCTGGTAGGGTGACCTATTCATTCCCAAGGAATTTACCAAGAATTTCTGATTCGAAGCACGCTGGCCAAACGTGATTCCAATCAGACTTTCAAGGTCATTCTACAAAGGCATGAGACTCTACGGTTTACTATTCCACATAATAGGTTCCCACTAAAATGTACTACCTTACATATCAAATGACTTCTCTCGCCCTCAATTACTATAGTTCTACGCATCTCGTTGATCATCAAATTCCTCAATTTTCCAAGTGTTCTCATAGTCCAATTTAACATATAACGCATATAGCTTCCATGACCTTCATTGAAGATTCTAATTTTGCATAATACTATGTTTCCACAAATCAACATGCCTATTCTCACCAATGCTTTAGTCAAAACTCTTGATTCCTTTATAACATTAGACATTTCACAACATTTCTTAACTTTTAGCCTTATCGCTAAGCTTGTTAAACACATTCGAGTTTCCCCTATAACCATCACAATTCCTTGGCAGCTCATAAAACTTAGCTTCAACACCTAAACATATCATACAAATGTGAATACATAATCCTGAATGCACAATTAACTACTTATTTCCCAATGCTCAATGGACACGTGTGTGAGGTATTATCTTGTGCTCTGATACCACTCTGTCACAACCCAAACCCGCCCTTATAGGTTTAGCATCGTAACCAGCCAGTAATCCTTGGATTACCGAAGGCCTCTGAACAGATTAACAAGATTAAGGGGCAAGCGGAAGCTAATACATAAATATAATTGTCCAATGAGCTGTGCTGACTTATATGAAACGGAATATTTGAAAACTTTATATACATAATCATAAGTCATTCATACATTATACCCACACACATAATAGTATCTTAAGTCTAGCCAACAGAATTAAATCAAATCATACATATACACAGAACCAACAGAACTTGAACACAGGACACTTCGGGAACCTCTACGTGAGGCATAATGGTTGGCTGACAACAGAACACAGATCCAAACAAAAGCCTTCAGGCTCGGGCTCCAGAATGCTCACCTATACATATATACACACACAATGAGCTAAAGCCTAATGAATAACATTAAGGTAAAAAGGTTAGTGAACGAAATCCGAATATATCATAAGCAGAAAACAGACCAGAGCATAATCATTCTCATATCAGAACATAATAATGGTACATCCCATAGAACACATCACAGAACGTCTTCCGACTAGAGTAATCGGTTCCGGATACCGATTAAACATATATCACCAAAATGAAATGGCTAACGAGATCTCGTAAACTTGTATGTCATGGACCCGCATTTTCATGCCGTCCCCCATGACTTGGGACTATCTATGGATGCCACCACGCAGAAACCAGGTAGGTAACTCGGATTTGAACTTTTGATCAAATTGAAAAAACCAAGAGTGACTGTTTGACTCATTTTGATACAAGAGGACAAGCATTAATGTAATCATAGTAATTGTATTGAATTGAATGACCAGGCAGATCTCGTAGTTGATAAGGAGAACCCCAATCAACTAGAGAAACAAAGTTGTGAATATAAAGTGAATGGTACACAATTTTACTTGTGTAAGTGCAATCATAAATAAGTTTAATCACAATTGACTGATGGTTGAACAGGATGTCTTTATAGAAAGTAATTGTTTTTTCTGGATGGAGAGGAATAAAATGCCATCCA